AAAATATATGACTTTTTTTGTAATTAATAAGTATTTTAGGCTCACATCATGATGCTTTATCAGAGGTTTTTAATATGTCATCAAATTATTCTTGGTCTAAGTATGATGGACATGAATTTAGACAAACTTTTGTTAGACTTGATGCCATTTTAATGACTGCCATCTGGAAATTATATTAGATAGCATAGTCATTATTGTTTAGCACGGAAAAAATACAACAGGACATACTCTAACGTACAGAAAATATTACTAAAATATTTACTCTCTTATTGTTTTGATGCTTAAACGTTTCCTTGTTTTTAATCCTCGTCACTTTCAGACAGCAGCCACTTTGGTTTCAGCCTGTCATGGATGATTATAAATATCTGCTGAAGTCCACCGCAGGTGTGCAATCCCCTGTCCATATGAGGAATTCGCTGAATCGTTCATTTAAATGATTCATTCAAAACAGCTGATTCGTTTAGAAAGTTAGCACTTGGCTGTCTTTATGAATGAACCATTGAGTTACTGAGTCATCAGTGAATGAGTCATTTATACTGATTATATACGCTGATTTATACTTCAGCATCAAGTTCACGTGTATGCTACGGCGCAGCCTTCACGTAGACCCATAGCCCTCACCATGGTCGTTGGCGTCGTTGACACGCACCTCTCAAAAGATGTAACTACACGTTGCAATGGCGCATAGCGCAAGCTCTGTGATTGGTCGGCTTGGAAGCGATGAGGAGTGTGGGTGGAACCATAAATGACACATTTCAGATTCACATAAATGTAGACGGCGCCCGTAGTGGATTCGAGATCTGAAACATACCACAAAAAGTACCTGGAACATACTTTAGGTTAGCAAAATTTTAGACAGCGCCCCTAGTGGATTTATCATCTGAAACATATAACAAAACACATTTGGAGAAGCGTATTTCAAAATTTGCGAAAATGGTAGACAGCGCCCTCTAGTGGATTTATCATCTAAAACATGCACAAAAAATATTTTTAGTGACGTTTTTCAGATTCGCAAAATGTGGACAGCGCCCTCTAGTGAGTTTGCCATTTGAAACGTAAAACAAAACATACCTGGATGAATGTATATTAAATTAGCAAAAAGGTAGACAGCGCCCTCTTGTGTATTTATAATCTAAAACACAACAAAACGTTATCTTAAGTGACGTTTTTCAGATTTGCAAAATGTAAACAGCGCCCTCTAGTGAGTTTGTTATATGAAACGTACAACAAAATGTACCTGGATGAATGTAAATTAAAGTGGATTTAGATTTTGAAACATGCAACAAAATTTCACTGAATGATGTATGTTTTAGATTCGCAAAAATGTAGACCGCGCCTGTAGTGGATTTGTCATCTGAAACGTACCACAAAACGTACCTGGAACTATTAGCTGAATTTTAGACAGCGCCCCCTAGTGGATTTGTCATCTGAAGCATACAACCAAACACACTTAGAGAAACACATTTTATATTCTCAAAAATGTAGACAGCGCCCTCTAGTGCATTCGTTATATAAAATGTGCAACAAAATGTAGCCTGAAGTGGGTCACACATCAGAAGCGCCGCTCGACGTCGTGCCACACAGTGCCATGCAGTTCAGAATTCAAATTATTGGTTTCTATCAGGGTACACACACCGGCAATGCAAGTCGGCGGCTGTACGCGACGCCCAGCCACGACTCAGAACACTGTTCATATTTCTGCCGCACCACAGAGCACCATCTGAATAGTTTCATTTTAAAAAACATGTGAACGTGCGCGTCTAGTGTGCCATACTTCCAACTGTCATGTACGCGCCGTGTCGCAGCACATCAGGTGTGTGACGCCCTTCAGTGACGCATTTTAGATTTGCAAAAATGTAGAAAGCACCCTCTAGTGGATTCCTCATCTGAAACGTACCACAAAACATACCGAAAACATATTGTAGATTAGCAAAAATGTAGACAGCGCCCCCCTAGTGGATATAGAATCTGAAATACGCAACAAACCCTACCATACATGACACATTTCAGATTCACAAAAATGTAGAGAGCGCCCTCTAGTGGATTCATCATCTAAAATGTGCAGCAAAATGTAGCCTAACTGACGCATTTCAGATTTGCCAAAATGTAGTGGATTTCTTGTGTAAAAAATTCCACAAGACATAACTAAAGCTTATTATTCTCAAAATTTTAAGATAGCGCCCTCTAGTGGATTCCTCATGTGAAACATTTCACAAAACGTACCTAAAACGTATTGTAGATTAGCAAAAATGCAGACAGTGCTCCCTAGTGGATTTAGAATCTGAAACATACCACAAAACACACTCTGAGTAACGTATTTCAGATTTGTAAAAATGTAAACAGCGCCCTCTAGTGGATTTAGATTGTGAAGCATTCAACAAAACGTAGTTGAACTTATGTATTTTTCAGATTCGCAAAACTGTAGACAGCGTCCTCTAGTGGATTTCTTATCTTGAGCATACAACGAAACACACCCGGAGCAATGAATTTTACGTTTCGCAACAATGTCGGCTGATGCACGTACTTCCAGTGAGTCGGGGCTGCGCTTGTCGTTTGTCTGCTGGCTGATCCGCGGCTGGAGTCCAGTGTTGGTGTTGCGGTTTGAGCTCAGGAAATTGTTCAGGAAAACACGCAGACCTACAGCGGCTCGGTCCAAAATCCTCCCAACGGGATCCATAACCCGGGAAAAGCTGCCAAAACAGGAAGCACTTAAAGCTCACAACAGGAATGTGGATAAGTGTGTGTGTTTCTCCGCTCAGATCGCATGTTTCAGATGTTTTACAGTGTTTGACTGAAGAAAGAGGAGAACACTCTGAACCACAGCGGGAGGAACACGGGTTATCTAGGCTTTCTGTCATTTAAACAGCCCTGTGTGTGTGTGTGTGTGCGCGTGTGTGCGTGTGTGCGTGTGTGTTTGTAGGAGAGAATGTGTGTGTAG